TCAGTGTGCTACCTGGGTAAATTCTTGAAAATGAAAATAAAGTCCCAACGCAGAAAATGCACTAATAAGGTCGTCTAGTAAAAATAATTTCGGTATTTATCTCTATTTTATTTCCTAAAAAAATAAGGAAAGCATTAATTTATGCTAATTGCGATATGTTTTTCTGATTTTTTTATAAACATTTAGGTTAGAGTGCTCCAATTGATGAAAATAATGGTGTTAATGATTTTTTTAAATAAAATAAAAATGAATGCCAAAATTATGTTCAAGTACTCGAAGACTAAAATGAAAATCCAACCTTTTAATGCATTTTTTCGCGTTGGGGCTTTATTTTATTTTCAAGACTTTACTTTTAGTAAAAATAATGCTTTTAAGATTTATTTTCGTTTATTTATACCATGGTGCAGCTCTATTTATAATAAAATTAAACTATTGCCGTAAATAGGCCATCTTAATATGATAGCTATAGCATATTATTATGGCAAATAAATATATTTAGGATCATATTAAGATAGCATAGGAGGATATTAGGATGGAATTAAGATGATCATAAAATAATATATTTACCATTATAAGATTATTTATTTGCCATATATGTACCAATTTAGGATCATATTAAGATGTCATAAGAAGATATTTAAGTGATATTAAGATGATCCTAAAATAATATATTAACCCTTATAAGATATATATTAATGTCCGATATAAAAACTTTTGATGGTCTTATGATAATTGTATTAAGTTTGCCTATTGATGGTCACAAAGTATAGTTATTAAATTGAATCTATTAATGGTATTTAAACGGTCTTAATGTCCCCTATTTTACTGCGATATCTTAAATAAGGTTATTAAGAATCTTAAAGATGGTCTTAAATTATTTTTCTCGGTGTACACGTTCCGATGTACCAATGAAGAAGATGATGTCACACCTGAATTTTATATACACAATTTGTCTCCGGAAAAACACAAAATTATGTTACAGAAAATGGACATCCCGACCGGATTCGACATAACACAAATCCAACCCCTTCATTTGCACCCGGTTGCCACCTACATCAGTTGGAGTATATCGACATCATGTGTCCTTTTTTATGTTCGCCTTCACATACATTCTGGTAAAGAAAAAGAAGAGAATCCACCACTTCCTGAATCGCCACAGAGTTACGAGAACTCTTTCTTAAGGAGGGAGGTGTTACGGTCGCCGACCCTGCACCCAGTACAGCGAACTGATATTCTTAAAGGAAATACCTACATATTAAATACTAATAAATAGTAAAATAAAATCATGTTACATCCGTTAAGATATAAAAATCCATGTTGTTCACTTTTCTATAATATCACTAAATAAGCAACTTGTGCTTTTCCTGTTTTAATAAAATCCATTTTTGTAAGCAGTGTTGAATTAGATCGTCAAACTTATAAGTCTAAATCTTTCTTCAATAAATATTTGGTGTTCATAAAAACTTTTATCCAACATCATTAACTCGCGCGTTGCGAAAACCCGATACTTCTTTAGCGTATTGTTTAACTTGATAAATGTCAACGGAAGTCGACGCAAAATATTTTCGTTGTTTTTAAACATCTATTAATCTTACCCGAGTCAAAATTTAGATAGTAATTTAAACCTACTTTGACCTATGAAAACTTATTTAAAACCTGTTAAGCCTGTTAACTCCAATTTATCAATAGAACAACCAAATTAATCTTCATTTGAACCGATTTAATGTAAAGAATTCGTCCATTTATTTTAGAAATTTAAATTATTCAACAGTTTGTACTAAGTCTTCAACCCAACCCGAACCAGCATTTACAATGCACTTTACCTATACTTCTACTGAACTCAAGCCATTAACTTTTCTTTAACTAAACTAAAATAATTAAAATCGTAATTTTCACTCATTTTGTTTTTTTCTTAACTACGTAGAAATGATTTTTGGTACCTAAAATTATTTATATATTGTCGCTGCGCCGCAAGAACCTCTATGCGCATTTTAACAAATTTTACAGAAGAAAAAACATTTTACTACCAGTTAAAACTTTTATGAAAGTATGCATTCCTTAATATTATTTCAATACTTAATTATACTAAAAAATATAAGGAAATACTTTCATCAAAGTTTTATCTGGTAGTGAAATGTCTTTTCCTTCTCCTGTAAAATTTGTTAAAATGCACATAGAATATTGTCGCGCTTTTATTAATTGACATGCGCAGTGGCCTGGGATTTTTTGGACTGTATGTTGTAAACGGTCATAATTTGCTTCAAATTTAAACGTAATTAGAACCGAAAAATCGGGAAAGCGGACTTGTTTGTCATGTTTTAGGTTAAAAATTGGGCGAAAATAAAACCGTTCAAGACGGAAATTGTTGAGATTTATTAGGTTAAATTACGATCTAAATTTTGACTCGGGTAATCTATGGTTTAAACCATATGGATATCGGAAACCATAAAGAAACAAACATGGTTTAAACCAACGAAAATGTGTTTGTTTATCTATATTATTCTCTATTCTCTATTATAATAATAATTATTAATATTTATATTATGTTTTGTATTAAACACAATTTTAATCCATATACATTTATTGCTAGGATACAATACATTTGGCTAGGAATACATATTATTTACAAAATCACTAATGTTAATGTTAGATACCTACACCTTAGGATATACATATTTCAAACAGTAAAAAGCTATACAACTTACGTTTTTAAACAAGTTAAATACATATTGGACAATACATTTATGTTAGTGATGGAAGAGTTAGTTTAAATTTATATATACTAATAACCTAATATTTTACAAATTCTTTAATTGTTTATAAAACACGGTGCTGTTCTGAGAGGTGATTTTTGGACTTTCTGTGAAACCTAATTTTTTTTATATTCTTGTTAATTAGGTCATAACTAAAATTTTAAGAGCAAAATAAAAAAAATTTGACGGTTTGAATTGTTTTAATTGGCTGTTTATTAAAAATATTATGCACTCTTTCAATTATCCAATTAAAACTAGCAATTTAATTTAAATATTTAATATTTGCATAACTAAAAAAAAGGTTTTTACAATTTTTTTTATATATTTTACTGTTTTGTTGCAAGAAACGTTCAAACTTTTAATCTAACCTTTGACGTATACATTTATGTTCCCTTAATTAATATATCCTTAAAGGTTGCCATGAAACTTAGATCTATTAAAAATTTATTTGATGTTTGAATTGTCATTTTCAGTATACGTATTCTATAATTTTTGTTTAGTTTTTTAAAGTGTCTTTTATAAACAAAAATGAAAAATTGTAGTAAAAGTTACGAAGAAATTCATGAAATTTAACTAAAGACCGGTTTATTCATCTTTAGTAAAGTTTATCGGGCCGATAACTTTCATGTCTTGGCAATATCTAGTATCCAAAGAAATTATTCGTCAAATAAATCAAAAATGATAAATCGGCCCTAAATAAAATGTGGCACCCTTAGAATTATTGTTTAATAAATGTATACTACATTTAACCTTAAATTAAAACTTTAAACGTGTATTACAACAAAACAATAAAAGATATAAAAAATGTATAGACCTTTTTTTAGGAAATGAACTAATCTTTAATCTGATTTAAAAAGTTATGATAATATTTAAATAAAATCGCAAGTTTTAATTGGAGAATTGAAAGTGTGCATACATATTTTTAATAAACATCCAATTAAAACAAAATTAACCGTCAATTTTTTTTTATTTTGCTCTTAAAATTTTAGTTATGACCTAATTAACAAGAATATAAAAAAAAATTAGGTTTCACAGAAAGTCCAAAAATCACCTCTCAGAACAGCACCGTGAAAATGATATGCATAATACGAAAGCTATATAAATTAAAACACATGTATAAAACATTTTGATTAGTATATTGATTTAAGATACATTTTGATAACTTGTTTATTTCATATGGTTAGTTTCCTAAAATGATTTTATTTTTTATGTGCATTCTCTTTGAGATTCAATTTAAAGCTTTATATACAATAATATACAATCAATTAGGCAAGTAAGTTTTTAAGAATTTATAAATACTTGACAAAAGGTTAAGAATATTATTTAGGAACCAATATTGCAAAAATACTGATAATGGTAAAGTTAGAAGACAAATTTATTTTGATAGACAGTCTTTAGACCTAAAGGATTACTGTTAAAGGCATCTAAAATTTTATAAGAATATAATAAAAATGTATCCATTAATTTTAATTATAGTTAATTTACTAAAACAAAAATTTTATTAAGCCAAACAACGGTATATATTAATCTCTCATTAAGTCCTTGACATTTTAAAATGAAAAAGGTAATACCACAAAGTCAAGATTTATGCTATTTACTTGGTGAGGTTTTGGTCTCTAATTGGTTATTTTCCTCCTATTCGGGCCCATACAACTTTTTCTGTGTCATGGATGGCTGTATCCCTAGCATTGTAAAATTATGCCATACATTTTCTCCATTATATTTACACAATAAAAAATATTTATATAAAAATTCTATACTAATACTACCAACCATATGAAACATTTACAATACCTACTTTTAAAATAGTGCATCCATACAAATACAAATAAAATAGTGTTTGAAATATAATAAAACAGAATGAAGTTGTATTTTATAAAATATTATGAATGTAATTCGTTGAACAATATGAAATGTTGTGCGTTGGATTGTGATTAACAGTTCTTAATACCTGAGAAACTAAATTTACTTTATGACTAGTAATCATTGGAATGTCGCTATTGTCATATTTTAGTAAATCAATGTAGAAACCTTATTATTTGTACCATTTTCGGAACGTATAAAACATACTTTAAAGGCACAAATTTTTAAATAGACCAATAGTATTTTACAAAAAAGTAGAAATAAAGAGAATAATTTCGAATTATTCAATTGTATTTAAATTAATATTTTTTCCTACTTTAATTGACAAAATAATTTTATATGTTACAGAGAAACTGGCTTCGTATTAAACTATTGTTCAAAATTTTAGGCGTTGATGCCCAGTCGATGAATTTTGGCAGACAAAAAGTTGTGTAAAATGAATACAATCGGTTTCGGACATCCTTCCATATCAAGCTCCTGAAAAAAAAATATTAATTAGGTTTTTTTTAATTTAATTGACATCCTGAAATCCAAAATTAAGAGGTTTTGTTGGCAGCATATTTGTGGACAATGACGTATTTATGGGGGGGCAGGGATCCCGTGCCCTCCCATATGGCTCCGTTTAAATTCACGATAATTGAAAAAACACATAATAAAATATACAACTTCACGATAAAAAAATTTCTATTAACCGCAAAATTTCTATTAACCGAAAATCCTATATAGGATATATATTGGGTGGCCCAAGAAAAAAGTTTCAAAGGGGACATCGTTTTTAATATATTTCACTTTTAAATCCCTTCAACACTTAGCGCAGTAGTCACAACTTCTGAAATTTTCAATTGCAAGATAGGGCAATTTTGAATATATTTCAAAAGTCTTGCTCCTCTGACAAATGAAAAGAAAAATTTCATCCATTCAGCACAGGGTGCTGATAAGGAGTCTTAATTATTTTCGTTTATTTATTGGACTGTCATGGACAAAATGTTATTAAAATATCTAGTTTATAAGTGAACTTATTTGGAAGCAAGTATACAGGACATTTAAAATAAAAATAAAGATATATATATATTTCATTTGAAGTTGCAGCTATAGCTTGTTTATTATTTAAATAAAAAAGTACAGATAAAGAATTTTACGCAGAAAAACAATTGGAATAGAAACATTAAAACAAAGTTCATTAATCTATTAAGTCCAACTAACAGGAGATCATGCCGGCCAATCCAGAGCTTCTCTTCATTTAATCCATTATTTATGAAACACTCGGTCCAAAACATGCAGTGCATAGTGTGGAAGTGCTACATTTTGTTGGTACATTAAAGTACATTAAATGGTCTTAGTAGCAGTCATCGTCATCGTAACAATATCGACCATCAAGAAAAATTGGCCCAACCAGACATTAAGTTTTAAGGAGTTTATAATAATAAAGAAACCATATTATTATTAATGATTTAATGCTTATATATTTTTTAAATTTACCCATGCCCCCCTCCCCCTAAAGAAAATACCCTGTGGATTAGGGTGAGCCAAAAAAACTAACCTATCGGATTTATGGGTTAAAATGAACCTACATACCGAGCAAAAAATTTCCCTGCAAGGCAAAATTTTTTGCTCAATTTTAAAAGGTGTCGGTGAGCATTCTAAGTTTTCCATTGAAAAAACACGTAAAAAAATCTTTTTTCATTAAAAAGAATATAACTTTTGAACCGTTCGAGATAAAATTTTTTACGTCGCGGATTCTTGTAGAGCATAAAATTTCCCAAAGAATCTATACCAGGATTATTTTTTTTAATTCAAAAATTCAAACATACATTGTTTGCACCATCTTAAAATAATGCTTAACTGATCCTGAAAGAGTTCGCCATCTGTATAACTGGAAATACTGGTAAATATTTTTAGGTCATCAGCAACAGTAGATGATTACAATTAAGTTTTAATGACAAGTCATTAATAAATAAAATGAACAAAAACGGACCCAAGTTAGAGCCTTGTGGTACTCCACTGCTCGCATAGAAATAATCTGAGTTGTAGCCATTATAAAAAACACATAATTTGCGCTCACACAAATATGAATAAAACAAATTAATAAGGGAGTGACTAAAACCAAAAAAGTGTAAATTATTAGGCAAATTTTGGTGATCGACCATGTCAAAGGCCTTAGAAAAATCCGTGTATATAGCATCTACTTGAAGTTTTTTGTCAAGTTGTTCTGAAACAAATTGCGTGAATTCAGCTAATTTGGATACAGTCGAGCGTTTATTCATAAATCCATGCTGCTACGTGGAAATTAGTTTACTTACCTCATTGTAGATGTATACAGGGAAGATTCAAAGACTTTCGCAAAATTAGACAGAATAGCTATAGGTCTATAGTTTTAATATCGCTAGGATTACCTGATTTTAAAATAGGGCAAACTCTGGTTATTTTTCATAAATCTGGAAAAGTAGACGTTGACAAAATCATATTGAACAATATTAAGAGAGGATATGCAAATATTAACAAACAATCTTTTATTAAGTTTGGGATGAGGTCAACACCACATGAATAATTGTTTTTTAGTTTAGACATACTCCGTAATATAAGCTCCTCAGAAAATGCAGTAATATTTATATCTAAATTAAATGTAAACTCAGGAGTCAAAGCAGTATTGTCATCACTGACAGAATAAACACTACCAAAATAATCAGCAAAGCCATTAACAACATCTTGAGGAGTTTCATATTGTATATAGTTTAAAAAGACATTGGCTGGTATTCTGGTTTTACCACGTTTTTCGCGCATAAATGACCAGAAATTTTTGGGTTCTAAAATAATGTTGTCTTCCGTATGTTGAATATATTGACGGTATGATTTAGAAATTTGAGATTTGAGAAGTTTTCTTACTTGTTTTAATTCGTTTAAAAAAAACCTTATTTTTATGTTTTTTGAAATTCCTGTAACACCTTTCTTTAATTTTTATGTTGCTGATTATTTCGGTTGTGTACCGTTTTGGATATTTACGTTTAGATTTTGTAAATTTGGGTACGAATTGATCAAAAAGCGAATAAAGTTGAGTATAAAAAGCTTCACAGGCAGAGTTAATATTATTATAGTAATTAAGGAAATTTCAATCAGTACTTAATAAAGCCTCATACAGTTCAAATAAATTGGCTCCTTTAAAATTATAATTCTTGTTATTAGCGTTGGTGGGAAAATTTTGAAATTTATCAAAATCTGTTATAATACTAAAAGAAAGATATGGATGATATTTGTCCTCAGATACCATAGGTGAAGTTTCCCTAGAGACACTACAGTTAAGATCAGATAAACACAAATCAAGAATATTGTCGTTGTCATTAACGATATTATTATGTTGACAGTGAGAAGTAAAATTTAAAAAGTTATGTAACATACGTGTTTTGTAATCGTTAAGGTTATGAGTAATACAATTAGGTATATTAAAGTCTCCAATGATAAAAATATTTTTTAAATTAAGTAAACATGATTCAAACATTTCAAAAAAGTACTCAAGCTCAGCGTTATTTATGTGGGGAGGAATGTAAACAGCAAAATATAATATTGAGTATGATTTAGAATTAACTTGCAACAAACTATATCTATCAATAAAGAAATAGAATTAAACTGAGTAAAAGTTATTAAGTTAACATTAAAAGAAGAATTAAAAGCAAGAAGCACACCTCCACCGCGAGAGGTTGCGGTTCTAGCATAATCCCTATCAGAACGAAATACAGTGTAAATATCAGAAAAGTATTCGCTACTACTAATATTACAGTTTAACCACGTTTCCACTAAGGCAATACAGTCAAAACTTTGCTCGGATGTAAACGAATATACTTCATCGACTTTAGATCGTAAACCACGAACATTTTGAAAATATACATTGATGGATTCGTTGGGCTTCTCTCGTTTTCCTTAAGCACAATAGTGGGGAGACCATTTCTGTATCCTATCCTCAAATTTGATTCCCCAGTATTGTCAAGTTGTTTTTTTTATTTTCTTATAGTACTCATTTTGGCGTTTGGTACGGTCTAAAGAAATTCTATAGTCTTTATATTCAGAATTTTTAAGTTTATTTGCTTTTTTAATAATTTCGTGACCAAGATTAATATCTTTTAGTTCAATTTTAATGGGTCGGGGATTACCATTTTGATTATTTTTACCTAAACGATAAATGTTAAGATTTTCCAGATTAACGTTGTTAGGAAGCGCTTTAAAAACATTATCAACGACTTGCTTGTCTTCTTTGAATCTATCAGAACTTGAACTAGCTAGACACTCGGGTATATTATATATAATAACATTGGACTTTCTTTTTTTTCGTTCATTGATTTCCTGAATAATATCTTCAAATCCAAAATTATTTACTATTGGTGAATCTCTATTTTTGAGTTCCATAATGTCATTTTTAAGACTAATAATTATGGCTTTTAAACTATTTATATCGTTTCCCATTTGGTTGCATATAGTGCAGCTCCACGAAAGTCCAACTTTTGTTTTAGTTTTTCTCACTTCAGAGGCAGTAAGATCAGCGCAGGTGTATTTTGTGGGTTTGTTGCAAACACAGCATATGACAATCTTGTGTTCTACTTCAAAGGTTGCGCAACCACAAGAACATTGCATTGTAGGCATTTCTACGAAACTTTGCACAGTCCGGCAACACCGCGTGACTATCGTTGTGGTGGGTGACCGTTTATAGGTTAGTATAATTAAAAAATTATTTAATACTAATAATTCACGTAACAACAATAGGCACAAATAGTATCAGGGTATCAAGTGTTGACATCGCGCAAATTTTTTTACAAATTCTGCCGTGTTTTTTTGGAAAAAATAGTTGAAAAATAAGGTAATTTTTATCTGAAAGAGATGGCAAATAACTTTTAGTAACCTAAACAATCACCCCAAACAATTTGTTTGTGTTTTTTTAAACAGTTGCTTTTTGCATGGATTTTTAGGGTTATATGAAACGATGCCTTTTGTTCTGTGACGATGCCTAGAAAACATAAATATGTTCCTGGAAAAAAAAATATTGAATTGGCTGTGGCAGAGGTGATAAACAATCGTCTATCCTTTGGGCAGGTTACTACCCGCTTTGATTTTCTTAGAACCACTTTATGCTGCAAATATAAAGGGAAGTATTCTGATTAATTTTTTAGGCCTTCTGCCTTAAGCGAAATCAAAGAAAAGCATATAACAAGTGTAATGGCATATCTAAACCACAAAGCAGTGATAATTAGTTGTTTTAAGAAAACATTCCTATCAACGACTGGCTAAATTCTTTCCGGAAGCAAAAATTGTGATTACTCAAAGGAATGCTGAAAATATAAAAAGATCCAGAGCAGAAGTTCTTGATTATATAATAAACCAATATTGTTAAAGAAGTAAAGGAAATAAGGGATGCTTTGCCAGGACCTGGTTACCGAAGAAAACAACAAAATTTTGTGAAAAAAGGAAACGCAGAATATTAAACTATTCTTCAACTTTTATAATGTTTGCTGCCACTGGAGGAGAACTTGTACCATTGTATGTTGTCTACCAGGCAAATCTTTTAGGTTTTTTTTAACAATCCTCAAAGGTTTTTAATAATTTTTATATTAATAAATTAAATCCATATATAAATCATTTTTAGGGCACAAGCTTTTGCATTTAATAAATAAATTTGTATACTATATAAAATCATTTTTAAAAAATAAAAGCAAAAATATTATTTTTGCTTGTATTTTTTTACCTTTACTGCTCTAAATTTTTATTCAAAAACAAAAATCCTCACATTTTTTCTTATATATTTGTAATTGCCAAGCATCAAAACCTTTAATGAAATTTAAAAATTTGTGACTTCAAACTCACCTTCATTGTTAATTTTTTTATTTAAACTTATTATATTTTAACTAACTAAATTTCTTTGACTTTTTATTTTTGTAGCTAATTTATAATTTGTATAATCCCTTATTTAGAAAATTTGTAATAATTGTTAATAGGCAATATGTTTTTTCTTTAAAATACTATGCTCTTCAATGTTAATATTTTAGAAAATATTTTTAAAATTTTGAAAATTGGGAATTTTTATTTTTCAAAAGTATTTTTTTGTACAATAAATTTTTGTTGTTTTTAAATATTTATTCATTTTTCCATTAAAAAAGTAAAATCCTACCAAAAATTATTCAAAAATCCAACGTTTTATGATACAATAATCACACATATTTCCCACGTTGTATAATACGAAAATCCCACGTATTTCCAACGTTTTATAATACATAAATCCCACGTATTTCCAACGTTTTATAATACATAAATCTTACGTTTTTTATAACATTAGAAACTAACGTTGTAAGACAACGTTATAAACCGGGACATTTCAACATAAAATTATACATAAAAGTTAGGTTTTTCCAACGTGGGAAAAACATTGTTTCTACGTAAAATTTATACTAGGGATCATTTATCTAAAGTTGACCCTTTTACCATTAAAAAATGTTTACAAAAACTAACGTATCGGATATAATTGTCAAATTTGTCTATAACGTAAAACATAGTGATATAGGTACAATGTATATTATAATATACATCAAAGGTAGGTAATTAAATCCCACGTTTTTTATAACATTAGAAACTAACGTTGTCTTATAACGTTATAAACCGGGACATTTCAACATAAAAATTATACATAAAAGTAAAGTTTTTCCAACGTGGGAAAAACGTTGTTTATACGTAAAATTTCTACTAGGGATCATTTATCTAAAGTTGACCCTTTTACCTCCATTAAAAAATGTTTACAAAAATCTACGTATAGGATATAATTGTCAAATTTGTCTATAACGTAAAACATAGTAAAACATAGTGATATAGTTACAATGTATATTATAATATACATCAAAGGCAGGTAATTAAGTGTTTTTTGTTTAAGTATCATAATTTTGACAGACATATTTTTAATGAGTGTGATTTCATAAAAATTAAATAAGTTATGTACTTACGACGTCTTCATCTTCTCCTGATCCAAAGTCCAACCAAAGAAGTCTCTTTCCATCATCAGAAGAACTTCTTAGTCTATCAAAGGAGTACCTCCATAACGTTGTAGATCCAGTACCACCTTCCAATAAAGTAAAACCATTTTCGTAGTGAATAACCAATTGTGCTGGTCGCCCTTTCCATAAACACCCTAAAAATATATAACCAAAATAAAAAAATTGTATGTACTGTGATTTTATAAGGGTTTCTTTAATAAATCGAATAAGCCGAATCAATTTAATGAAATAATTGTTTGCACCTTGTAGAAATATCTTTCCTAAATATAATCCGATCCTTTATTTAAAAGCTAAACCTAGTCAGTACGAAGCGAAAATGTTTTCCGAAAATATTTTGGACGAGTAGGGAGAAGTTGGACTGACATGCGCCTTAGCAGCTGAAATTAATAGTAAACAGAAAAATTCGTACTTACAAACCAAATTCAATGTACTCGTAAAAAATACTCGTGGAATTCACGGGTAATAAAGTTTATATAGGTACAAGTATTTCCGTTTATTATATCGATGACTTTTTGCCAAAATATCGTAAGCATGAAGACATTTTGTTTGGAAGTCTTTTTTAAATTATATAATATATACAGTTTTGGTCTTGACGCTTGAAGTGTAAGCATATGCTCAACGAGATCTCTCCTAAGCAGCGTATACGATACAAACGTAGTAACGTGAGCTGGTTAACGCCGTAAAATAATAAAAAATCAATCGATTCTAAACGTGACAACTGTCCCAAGTGCAAAAGAGTGCAAATTGTGTGTGGTACCTCCCCCTGGATTAAATCCTCAAGTGTTGGACCTGGTTAAAAGGTGTGAGAGAGACGATCAGTTCCAATGAAATTTACTGGGCTACCACACGTGCGGGCGGCATGCGAAATGGATCAATTCCAGCACCTAATAATCAAGCTAAGTTATTTTTCCAATTGCATGTCTTACCGTATATTCGCTAAATGTTTATAAAAGCATTTCACAATGTTTATATAAGCATTTCACAATGTTGCAAAAAGAAAATACTATAAGAACATTTCCGTAAGTTTAAATAAACAACCTCATTTTCTCATAGCAGACAAATCATAAACAACCATCGAAAAAGGCGTAAGATAAATAAATAAACCAAACAAGCAAGAAGACAAAAATATAACATAAACAAGTTGTGTGTGAATAGCAGTGTTTCCAGATGTAAAAGTTGAAATTATCGAATTGGGTAAATAAAATTATGGAATTTTCGGAAAATTAAGTTACAATAATTGTAATAATTATGTTACAATAATTATTATAATTTAATCATAAAAAAGTGAAAGAAGCAGGGTTGAAAATATAATCGAATTTTAGAAAATTATAAAATTTGTTAAAAATAGTATAAAGCTGGATTTATAGTTCAGAAAGTAGCGGTAGCGGTAATGGCGGCCCCTCGCATAAACACTAAACTTACAAGGCGAGGCTGCCAACTAAAAACTGCCGTGTGATTGGCTGGAGTCGCGGTTGAGGTAAGAAAAGATGAAAAATGGTCATCTCTTGCCGCTCTTGCCGCTATAACGTATACGTTCTTGCCCCTACTTCCCTTACCGCTTCCTCTGACAACTATAAATTGTTTCATATAATATTCAATGCCCAACTTGGCTACCGCTATCGCTGCCTCTACCGTTACCTTTAGAACTATAAATACCGTACGGGAATCTATAAATAGCACTACGGTATTGCTGATATTTTACGGGAGGAAGGTAGGAAATCTATAAATCAGGCTTTATGCTCAATTAAATTTATTAATCTGGATAGAATTAAGTTAATTTTGTCCAGATACTTGGATTAAAAATTATGTTACAATTAACGTTATGTTACATATAATTTTCAAGCTTTGTTTTTAGAAAAATTTATGTTACAATTCGATAATTATGTTACAAATGGCAACACTGGTGAATAGGTAATATTGTATATGCATTTAGGATAGATAAGAAGGAAGACCCACTCAGCCTATGCCATATTGCCGCATTCCATTACATACACTACAGGGCCGGATTTATCCATTTTGTATATTGGTATTTACATTAGAGAGACTGGTTAATTAATTAATAAATTAATAGACCGACTGATTGGTATGGATATTATGGGTGTTGGTATTGGTACTGATGTTAATATTATTGGTATTAATGTTAATATTGATGTTGGAATTATGGATATTGATATTAATATTAATATTGATTGATTAATTGGTGGATATTGATACTAACGTAATATTGATTAATTGATTGATTGGTTGATATTGGTATTGATTATTGGTATTGATTAGTATTGGTATTGATTAATTGATATTTATATAAGATCTATATAGATACTGGTTGACAATTAATAATTTTAAAATAAATAAGGAATATACAAGGTGGGTAGCCGATACTTGGCAGGAGGAATACCCATCAAGGGAGAGGGCACCCACGGGTATCAGGGCCGTCAACTCTTCGATACGGAAGACAAGACTGAGTATCACACAGGGGGGCAAACAATTCTAAAGAGGTTACCAGGAACCTGATACTGACTCGGACAGTGACGTACAGAAATACACCAAAAGGACAGGTTCTAGCAGCGTCCTAACACTTCTACCCCCATTCAAGAATACCAAATGAATGGGGTTATTACTAAAGCCCTGGTTGAGGGGGATTCCGGATTGTACTTAGTTTTGAGTCAGTTCAATGTCCCCCAAAAACCCTTCCTAAACTGGACGTATGGCCCGACCCGGCTGACAAAAATTCCGGGAGCGGCCTTAACCTTTGACGCTGTCTTCCACGACCTTCTAGGATGGATCTACCAGCCGGCGTAAAAACTTCGGATCCAACAAACACAGGTAATGCTGTGATTTGGCGGGATACGCAGGAGAACGAAAAGGGGGTAAAATATCCCCGGGAGATCGTGGAGGATAATATATCTGGGGCCTGTCATACGTTCCCATACTCATACTCATACTTATACATATAGTATAATATAGAACATTATAGGCTACAGGTATATACAGTGTGACTTATTTGTTTGCGACTCACCCCTGTAAAATATTTATTTATTGTGCGATTTTAACCATATTTGTTTTAAGTGTAGATCTGGATAAAGAGTATTTTGAAGCAAAAAACGCCATATTTGTACAATGTCAGTTTTTAAGAGTAAATTTTTAAGAATTCATATTAGCGATTGTTTTAAACAAAATCCAATAGTACCATATAACTATTAATTTAATTTCAATGTTTTTTTTTTCATAGATGACTTGACAGAATACATTTTTTTAGTTATTATTGTGCATTTTTCTACTTAAAATTGTTCAATCAAATTTAGTATAGGGTCGTTTTGAGGAGATGATGAATACAGTACCATGCTTAGATTTTGTTTAAAAAAATGGCTAATATGAGTTCTTAAAAATTTACTCTTAAAAACTGACACAGTAGGCCCCTGTATAAAAAATTGATCAGTATACAGGGAAAAACAAAAAGTTTATTTTTTCTCAATGGATCACCCTATATATGAATTTATTTTTCGATTCCTTGTAAAATTCAACCGTTTCTGAAATATTTAAATTATTTTTAAGATAATAAGTTAAAATAGTTTGTCTTTCTCTGTTTGAGTACGCCATTTCTACTTACTTAACAAGACATATTGACATAATGTCACTATAGTTATTTATTTTCAATAAACATTTTCTTATTCTAAGAATTCTTGATTTGTAAAAAAATATTTGATGATAACGTTTCAAATGCGAATATTTCAGAAACTGTTGAAATATTAGGTATATGTAAGGTGACCAACCGTTCTGATTTAACCAGAACTATACTGTTTTTGAGAACCATGCTCTGGTTGTAAATTAAGTAAAGTAAAAGTTCTGTTTTTCAAAAGCTTTTCTGTTTTTTTCTGTTTTCATACCTACATATACCTACAATACTAATTAAGCCATAAACAAAAAATTATATTTTCCACTTTGCCAGATTTTCCGCCCAATCGTGCAACCCTGCTCGCCCCACTAAATACAAACTCTAAATGATATGCCTCTGCAAAGAGGAAAATGCATCTTTAATGCAGAAATGCAAAAGAATTACCCATATTGTTGTGTTTATCTTGAACAAATAGTCCTGTAGAGAAAGTTTTTTCCAATTTAAACAACTTTTGGACAAAAGACATATTGAAACACTAAAATCATTATTAGGTAATTGTTAAAACTAATTTCGATCAAACATGCTTATTAAGCTGCTTAAAAAAAATAAAGTACTAATAAAAAAAATTCACTCCCAAGAAAAATATAGTTTAAAAAAATCTTAATTTTTAATAATATTATGTTAATAGAAATACATGTAAACATTTTATAAAAAATACAGATTTTTATTAGAGTTCTGGTTTTCCTTTCAGGAGAGTTGGTCACCTTAGGTATATGGTATGTTATATGATTTATGCTTAGAATTTTACAAGAAATCGAAAAATAAATTCATATACTCGTATAGGGTGATCCATTGATAAAAAATAAACTTTTTGTTTTTTTCTGTATACTGATCACTTTCCCAATTTTTCTTATAAGTGGAAAAAAGTATTTTTAGCACCTACATAACCACACTTTATTTTTTTTGGGACACTTAAAATAAAAAAGTTAAAGGGGGCGACATTATAGGGGATCACCCTATACCTAATGTATAAATTAAATAATTTTATAAATTTCTATTTGTATTTTTATAGCTTAGGACCAAAGTATGTATAATGTATAAAGAATAATCAATTGTATTAATTAAAAGTACTCGTACTTTACTCGTGTTTTCACGATTACTACTCGTAACGTAACCTCTCTTTACAAATGTACTTACGAGTAAAATACTTACGAGTAAATATTTTAAGTACTCGTACTACGTACTGTAACACGTTATCACACATTGCCTACCTAGTTGCCTATCTATTTCTTTATAATTTGTGACCTATATTTTTGACATTGTCAAACTTTAAATAAAAAAGATTGCAATTATTTGTAAATACGATTTTGTAATAAATAAATTTAGAAAAAAATATGTTGTTTATATTTTTCGCGCCATTTTAATGTTGTAACTTGTCATTTTATTCTTTATAACTGGACTATTACACCAAAAATCAAGCGCCCAGCACATATAAAAATGAATCATATCAAACCTAAA